CCCCCCCCCCTTCTCTATACATACATCCCTGTTCTACTACATCCATTGTTAGCCTGTTCATTCCAGTAATAATGCCAGAACCTTCGAAAATTACCAAGACATTTACTACACATTGTTAGCCTGTTCATTCCAGCCTGTTCATTGCCAAGTCAAAAGAGCCTCTAAATAAAGCTTCGAAAATCGATGACTTGGTCGAAGCTCAGATCTGTAATCTCATCAAAGCCAAATTTAAACAGTTGTATTATGGAAGGAATCGGGCAATTACCAAGACATTTACTACACAATTGCAACGGAAAAAAATTAACATGCCAACAAAAAACCCTAACCTGAAAGCCGCCGGCCGTCTCCGGTCATGCACTAGACCATCCGCCAACCCACGTCGTCGATTAGAGAATCAGGCTGCCAAACGCCGAGATCGAGACGCCGCTTCCACCGGGTGGGTCTAGATGTCGCGCCGCTGCCAAAGCCATGCCTCCGCCGATTTTTTGCCAGCGAGGAGCACGGTCGGAGGTGAAACGTTGCGAAGATTGCTGGCGAGGAGCTGCGGAGGTCGGAAGTCGTCGCGAGTAATTGCCGGCGAGGAGGTCGCGAGCTTATTCTTCTTCTTCTTCTTTTTTGTTTTTTTTTTTTGTTTCTTGCACCATAGAAATTGAAAGTGAATAATTTGGAATTGTTTTGTGAAAATATTGAATTTGGGGAAAAAAAATGTGGAATTAAAGAAATGGAGTTTAGGGGTATTTTAGTATTATCATATGTTAAAATGGTTAAAAAATATGTTTTTTACAAAACATGGCTAAAATTTGTGTTTTGTAAATTTATATGGCCATTTAATGGTATTAACACAGGTAAGAAACCCTTCTTTGTTTTGTCCAAACGACCAAAGTCATATTAACGATAAACAAAAGTTCGATAATTACTAGGAAAACCACCTCCGAATCTCACGCTTTCAATCAAGATTCTCCATGCAACATCAATCCTAGAACCAGACTCTTCTATCAATCAAACGGACATCAACCAAAATACTAATTAAGAAATAAAAACATTCTAAACCAAGTTTGATCCAAGAATAAGAAAGCTAAATCGAATATGACGTTTAAGATAAAGGCGACACTTTTCTTGAGGTTATACCAAACTTCAAACAGAAGCTTATAATCACCCAAGTTTTCAAACTTAACTTATGCTAAAGTCTAAAACACAGCATCCAAGACGTTATCTGGTCTCAAATTGAACCAAAAAAGGGAAAATCTCTAAGTATTTACTCATGTTCCTCTTGATCCAAATGCAACACACACAGAGGCACCACCAAACTTGCCTAAACCAAAATCAAATCAGAGTAAACTAAAGGAGAACAACATAAACTTGTTCCCACACTGTATATCCAAGATTTAACCTAATAAGTCAACAAAACCAAAATTTTCATTCATATTACAAGAAAACATAGAAGAAAACAAACCCAGATCTTCAACCCCAAAGAAAATTTCTTCACAATCCAGAACACAACAGTACGAAGTCCTATATTAGTCCTAAAACAAGTTAATATCACCGAAAATATACCAAGAAGAAGAACAATGCAAAACCCAGAAATTAAATCGTATGATCAAGAAAATTTCTGAAGCTGGCAAGTGCAGTACTTACCATCGTCGCATTTGACGATGAGAATGGCCTGAAACAGTAGAGATAGCAGGAGCAGCTTCGACAGTGACGCCATAATTAACGTGGGGTCTTCACAAATTGGGCTGATTAACTTCAAAAATTAAGCAGAATTATCTGCAGAAGATTTTTTTTTTTTTTTAAGCTTATCAAGTGTTTGTGGAAATGCGTAAAGGAGAGCGGTGAGCTTATATATATATGATGCTACCTAGGCTGGGCTGCCGTACGGTCACCATTTCTTTTTCATAAATTAATATTTTGCGGTTGAAACTTTAGACTTTAGCCTTTTGATACGACTTTGTTTTTCCACAAAAACGAATGATTCAGCACATAAGAAAAGTCATAATGAATGAAATGATTGACTATTTTATTCATGATATACTTCAATTAATAAATGATGAAATAGATAGAATTTTCATAAGGTTTTTTATCACAAAAATGTCACATGGTTGTAATCCAATAAGAAAAGTAGTAATGAGAATGAAATGATTGACTATGGGAGATGCTATAGTCACGTTACCGAACCACTGTCGAGATTTGTAGCCGTTAGATTAACTATCCTCGACGGTTACATGATAATCTAACGATTACAAACCCTGACAGAATAGTTTTGTAACTGGACAATAGCATTTTCTCTATTTTATTCATGATGCTTTATAAATAATGAAATAAATAGGATTTTCATAAGGTTCTTTGTCACATAACATTGTGGTAAAAATTACTTGCATGAACTTGTGAATGAGCAGTATGAGCAGTATGCGCCCTTGGCCGTATTCCGAAAGGAACTTTGAGGCCCTTGAGAAGTAGGGGGCACGAGAATTCTCTCCCGACCTAACCCCATTCTGAGGAGGAGAGGGTACGTACCCTCACGAGGTGATGCATTCCTTATTGACACAATTAGTGTGAAATGTTGCTCTTGTGTTTGTTGAAAAAATGACATTCAAGTAATTGTCCCCAAAAATGTGAAACGCCAAGCACACAAGTCGCCATATGCCGCCGTAAGAATGCTTTTATAACTTCATATATAATAGTAGAGATATTCATTTTTATCCATTAGTTTACTTTGTTAAACGGTCTAATCATATAATCAACTCGCCTTCTCTTGAGCTAAATTGACTTCTAGTTGTGTTTGTGCCCCATGTCCATTTGGTCGATCCATCGATATGTATACCCTATTTGTGGAGTTACAATCGACCTGATGTGTCGACGCCTTCCAATATCCATGATCTCCGATCGATCTGTTCGTTTGTTTGTATGGTTAGACCGCTTTTGTAGTCGGGTCGAGTCGACCTCGATATGGTATTCCATATCAGTATTGTTGGCTTTCCCCATGTCATTCCAAAAAAATGTTTTACCACACCAATTTTGTGAAAATTGTTTTCAATTTAAATATTGAAGTATCATGAATAAAAAATAAAATAAAAATCAATTGTTTCAATTTCATCATTATTACTTTTCTCCTGTGTTGAACAATACTTTTC